AGCACTGGTAATCCAGATTTAGTGGTCCTAAAAAGTTCCTATCCGGATCAGATTGATCCAATCCAATGTTGCTTTGAAAAACTGGCTCAAAAAGTAAACTGGATTACGTGATCACGAATCGCAAAAACAGGATTACTAAATCCGTATCAATTTTATCCGGATTAAACCTTTTAAAAAAAAACGGGCCCAGAGGCACAGTGGAATGAGCGCACATATGAGCGCAAATGCATTTGCTATTTAAACAGCGTGGCGGAAAACATCAAAACGACTCTTGCGCCAAGCTGAAACTAGCAAACAACTATTGCGTTGTGCCTTGCGCCACATTGTGCCAAGTGTATGATAGGGCACTCTTTCACACACACACTAATACACTACGGCCAATTTAGTTAATCAATTTCCCTATGGCACATGTGTTTGGACTGTGGGGGAAACCGGAGCACCAGGAGGAAACCCATGGCAACACTGGGAGAACATGCAAACTCCACACAGAATCGCCAACTTACCCAGCTGAAACTCGAATCAGCAACCTTCTTGCTGTGAGGCCACAGTGCAAACCACTGAGCCACAGTGCCTCCCAGCTAGTAAACAAGAACAAAAAAAACTCTGAACTCATTGGTCATATCAAGCTCTGTGATCTAATAACAGTGAATGTTCTCCATGCACTCTTCTTGTTGTCCTCTTTCTCTTTCGCAGACATTGATGAATGTGCGACTGGGAAAAACCAGTGTCCGTTTAACCGGCAGTGCACAAACACATTCGGCAGCTACTACTGCAAGTGTCAGCCAGGATACGACCTCAAATACATCAATGGAAAATACGACTGCGTTGGTGAGAAGAATGCAACTGTGTGTACAACCTGCTGTAATGACCGACTATACACTATTATAAAAACAACTGTCCACCTTAGATTGAGCTAGTACGAGTTATTAAAGATGATGTGTGCTTTTGTCAAAGAAAGTCATCATAAAAATGGCCAAATTACTGGTAAAGAAGTAAACTACCCTAAAAATATCCATTAATGAAGTAATGAGTCTTGCATTTAGTGTTGATGCTAAAGAATCAGTGTAAAAAACATTCAATTCAAGTTTATTTGTATAACGCTTTTCACAATTAGTCTTCCGTGTCCCTGTGCTATTTAAAATGTATTTGTTTTATTTTGGGACTCTTCTAGAATAGTTTTATGTGTATTCAAGATCAAAATCACTTTAATTTAGAAGTGTACAGTCTCTGAAATGTTTGGTTCAACGATCTGGTTGCTCTAAACCCGCCTTCTTAGGAAGCATACTCTGCTCTGATTGGTCAGGTGGTACTTGTCTACTCTGATTGATCAGATGGCACCAGTTTACTCTGATTGCTTAGATGAGACTAGTCTGCTCTGATTGGTCAGCTGACAATCAGCTGTTCTGATTTGGTCAGATATCTTAAGTATCTTCTGATTGGTCAGATATCACAAGTTTCCTCTGATTGGTCAGATGAGACTAGTCTGTTCTGATTAGCCAGATGACACTAGGCTGTTCTGATTAGTCAGATATCCCAAGTCTACTCTGATTGGTAAGATGAGACTAGCCTGCTCTGATTGGTCAGATGACACTAGTTTGCTATGATTGGTCAGATGGCACTAGTCAACTTTAATTGCTCAGATAAAACTCTGATCTGATTGGCCAGATAGCACTATTCTGTTCTAATTGGCCAGATGACACTAAGCTGTTTTGATTGGTCAGATGAGACTAATCTATTCTGATTGGTCAGATGACAATAGTCTTTTCTAATTGGTCAGATATTACAAGTCTACTCTGATTATTCAGATGGCAGTAGTCAACTCTGATTGGTCAGATGACACGAGTCTGTTCTGATTGGTCAGATAGCACAAGTATTTTCTGAATGGTCAGATGACAATAGTCAGCTCTGATTGGTCAGATGACAATAGTTTGCTCTGATTGGTCAGATGACAATAATCTGCTCTGATTGGTCAGATGACATTATTCTGCTCTGATTGGGCAGATGACAGTAGTCTTTTCTAATTGGTCAGATATTACAAGTCTACTCTGATTGGTCAGATGGTACAAGTCTGCTCTGACTGGCCAGATGAGACTAGTGTGCTCTGATTGGTCAGATGGTACTAGTCAACACTGATTGGTCAGATGAGACGAGTCTGTTCGTATTCGTCAGATAGCACAAATATTTTCTGATTGGTCAGATGACAATAGTCTGCTCTAATTGGTCAGATGACAATAGTCTGCTCTAATTGGGCAGATGACACTAGTTTTTCTAATTAGTCAGATGACATTATTCTGCTCTGATTGGTCAGATGACAGTAGTCTTTTCTAATTGGTCAGATATTACAAGTCTACTCTGATTGGTCAGATGGCACAAGTCTGCTCTGACTGGCCAGATGAGACTAGTGTGCTCTGATTGGTCAGATGGCACTAGTCAACTCTGATTGGTCAGATGAGACGAGTCTGTTCTGATTGGTCAGATAGCACAAGTATTTTCTGATTGGTCAGATGACAATAGTCTGCTCTGATTGGTCAGATGACAATAGTTTGCTCTGATTGGTCAGATGACAATAGTCTGCTCTAATTGGGCAGATGACACTAGTTTTTCTAATTAGTCAGATGACACTATTCTGCTCTGATTGGTCGGATGACAGTAGTCTTTTCTAATTGGTCAGATATTACAAGTCTACTCTGATTGGTCAGATAGCACAAGTATTTTCTGAATGGTCAGATGACAATAGTCTGTTCTGATTGGTCAGATGACAATAGTTTGCTCTGATTGGTCAGATGACAATAGTCTGCTCTGATTGGGCAGATGACACTAGTTTTTCTAATTAGTCAGATGACATTATTCTGCTCTGATTGGTCAGATGACAGTAGTCTTTTCTAATTGGTCAGATATTACAAGTCTACTCTGATTGGTCAGATGGCACAAGTCTGCTCTGACTGGCCAGATGAGACTAGTGTGCTCTGATTGGTCAGATGGCACTAGTCAACTCTGATTGGTCAGATGAGACGAGTCTGTTCTTATTGGTCAGATAGCACAAGTATTTTCTGATTGGTCAGATGACAATAGTCTGCTCTGATTGGTCAGATGACAATAGTTTGCTCTGATTGGTCAGATGACAATAGTCTGCTCTGATTGGGCAGATGACACTAGTTTTTCTAATTAGTCAGATGACATTATTCTGCTATGATTGGTCAGATGACAGTAGTCTTTTCTAATTGGTCAGATATTACAAGTCTACTCTGATTGGTCAGATGGCACAAGTCTGCTCTGACTGGCCAGATGAGACTAGTGTGCTCTGATCTGTCAGATGGCACTAGTCAACTCTGATTGGTCAGATGAGACGAGTCTGCTCTAATTGGTCAGATAGCACAAGTATTTTCTGAATGGTCAGATGACAATAGTCTGCTCTGATTGGTCAGATGACAATAGTTTGCTCTGATTGGTCAGATGACAATAGTCTGCTCTGATTGGTCAGATGACAATAGTCTGCTCTGATTGGGCAGATGACAGTAGTTGAATTGAATTGAATTGAATTGAATTGAATTGAATTGAATTGAATTGAATCTGAATTGAATTGAATTGAATCTGAATTGAATTGAATTGAGTCTGTTCTGATTGGTCAGATAGCACAAGTATTTTCTGAATGGTCAGATGACATTAGTTTTTCTAATTAGTCAGATGACATTATTCTGCTCTGATTGGTCAGATGACAGTAGTCTTTTCTAATTGGTCAGATATTACAAGTCAACTCTGATTGGTCAGATGAGACGAGTCTGTTCTGATTGGTCAGATAGCACAAGTATTTTCTGAATAGTCAGATGACACTAGTTTTTCTAATTAGTCAGATGACATTATTCTGCTCTGATTGGTCAGATGACAGTAGTCTTTTCTATATAGATATCTATATCTATATTGATGCAGAGTTATCAAATTATAGAGATATCACAAGTCTGCTAGATAGATTTTATATTTCAGTTTGTTGTGATTGGCTGAAACCCAACCCTCATGTAAATCTCAGCTCCTCTTGAACACTTATAAACACAGTGATGCATCTGTGATGACAGCTTTGGCTTTACTGTATCAGGTCCAGCACTAGTTCTCCAGTGTTTTATTAGTGCATGCAGAGTTTGTTCAGTTGATGTGAAATGCAATAATGCGAGTGTGTGTGTTTGCAGATGTAAATGAGTGCACGTCGAACACACACAAGTGCAGTCATCACGCTGAATGCATCAACACTCTTGGGTCCTACAAGTGTAAATGCAAGCAGGGCTTCCGTGGCAGCGGATTCGATTGTTCAGGTGAGAAATGACAGCATTAATGAAACAGCGAAAATTAAACTACACTTTTAAAATATCCATAAATGAGCAGTTTTCCATATTTTGTGATTTATGTTTTAATTTTTAATTTTTTCCTCCTTTATTTATGCTTTTGAATTGCATCATGGGACCCAACACTGGGTTACAACAACCCAGCATTTCGTGTGTGTTTAATTAAATAAATACAGCATCGCTGAGCATTTTTTAAACATGCTGAAACAAACAGTACAATTTCCAAACTTGTGTGGATGTTTTAGGAGAAATGTTGTAGATATAATTTGTGAACCGAATGCTTTGTGTTTGTGTAGTCAAGCCATTTTATCACAGATCCTGGGACAGCAGTAAAGGAAACACAGATGTGCTTGTGAACGGTGAGAAAGACGCAGTTTAACGGCTGAATGAGCTGATGGAAATACATCTGATATTGTAAAACATCAGCATTAGATGAACATCAGCTCCTGCGAGAGGGGTCTGGCTGCAGACCTAGTGCAGTGCAATCTGAGCTGCATCCAATGCTTTTTAATGCGCTCACCTAACCCCGCCCCTAACCCTACCCGTCACAGTGACGTCACTCACTCCATTGAGTGCATTGTGTCTGACATTGCATCGCTAAGTGATGCAATCTCAGCTTGCACCATAAAGGCTGCATCCAGATACTATTGGCTCCTGCGCTCTGCTGGATGCTTTGCAGATACATTTAGAAACACTCTAATAAGCTTTGCAGATGTTAATGCATTATCTGGACCATGCCGCTGGGAAAACAAATGAAAGATGAAAGTTGTCATGCAGCTTGGTTATAATGATTGTGAATGGCTTGTCATGCAGTGCACATGCAGTCATGGCAGATGTAAAGCATGCCTGATTAATGCAATAATGCTGATATTGTGCATTTTTCACAATGGCTTTAAAGCAGTCAATATTTAACCTGATGTATTTTTTAAATTAGCTTTATTTTTAGATTGTCCGTTCAATAATATACATATATATATATATATATATATATATATATATATATATATATATATATATATATATATATATATATATATAAATAAAAAAAAAAAAAAAAAAAAAAAAAAAAAAAATATATAAATATATATATATATAAAAAAAAAAAAA